CCCCCCCCCCCCCCCGCGCCGCCTGCTTCGAGTTCCTGCGCGACGCGCTGTTCAGCCAGGCTCGGGCGTGGCGCTGCTCTCTCCCCCTTCGCTGCTTCCGAGGGAGATTCGGGTGTCACCGGCTGAGCGTGCATCTGCTGGATGGTCCCAGAGCTGGCATGAACCAGGCCCCGGACCCCAGTGGCCCTGAGCAGCTTGAGAGAGATGCCCAAGGGCCGGCCCATCTCCCGCCGGCTGCCGGCAGCGGTCCTGCCCGGGGGATGCCCCCGACGCCCAGCCTGCCCCAGCTCATCCAAAAGTAAGAGCCGCTCGCGCGTGGAGCTGGGGGGAGAGGAGGGAGGGGAGGGGAGGGGAGGGGGGAGGAAGGGAGCGAGGCTAATGCGCGCCTGACCTTTCCTGCCGCTGCGCCTCATCGCTTCCCGGGCAGAGGCGGTAAAGCTACGGGGGACCCCTTTGGCCTTGGTGACAAATAGCTTCCAAACTTGGGCGGGCTGCCCCTTTTCCCCCATGGGGTGCCTTTCCGCGGGCACGGGTAAACGGGTTCCCAAAGCCAGAAAGTCGGTCGCTTGTTACGGTCCAGAAAGTCGTTCGGAAGAATGAAACTTTACCTTCCGCAAGGACCTGTTACATACCGTTTCTCTTTCCATTTGCTGACTTGTCACGTAAGCAAAAAATGAAGGAAATTCCACAAATGCAGATTTTACGACCTTCTAGTACTTGTATTACCCACCTTACTTTACTCATTTAGCGTATATTTTTATTTGTTCCATTTTTGGCCCTAGGTGCTCGACTGTAGCGGTTCGTATGGTGTAACGTAACGAAAGGGTAGTAGACATGCCTGTAATCAAAACATCCTATAAGCAATGGACTTGACTAAAAACTTTGTAATGGTTATAGCGCTAATAAGAATAATTATGTATCTACGGAAGACGAACAGTTTAGATTCTGTCGACTTTCCTATCTATAGAATAGGAGAATCAAGATGTACAATTATTATAGACATATATGTGTATGCCATGCGATATTTATAAAGGATGACGTTGAATTGCTGAAGCAAGATCATTACATGTAGTAATTTAGTTTGTCATCTGGTTACAGTGTTACAATAAAATAAATCAAGCTGTTTGGTCAATAAATCTAATATTAAATTGTTTAGAAGTTATCTGCTACCTCTACATTCTTCAGTTTGCTTTGATCTAGAAAAAAATCACATCCTTTTAGTCTATACTGTAGTAAAAAGCCTAATTTTCATATTAACTAGGAATAAATACTAAGGAAATGTACGTGTGTATGTATTTATTGAGAAAAAAAAATCATTATGCCCTACAAACCAAAAGATTCTTATTTTGCTACATTTTTATTAAACATCACTGGAAGTATTTAAGTCATTTGTAACTGGAAAACAATGTTGTTGTTTTCAAAAAAGGGGCACTTTCATTCCCATGGTGAGAATTAGAAAGAATGAGTATGATTCATACATCTTAATATTCAGAGGAGTTTAGAGCAGTGGGTGCTAATTTTCTTCTCTGATATTCTAAATAAAAAATAGAATAAATTTAGACTGAAATGTTCCTAGGTGTGTATTATTTTAATGATATGCCCAAATTTGTTTTGATTTATTACATAAACTTCAATAGTTTAAAAAAGATAAAGCCTTGTTTGAATCAAGTTTGACTTTTATCTAATTTCTTAAAACTTCTTTCTACTGTGTAATATAGGTAAGAATTTGATTTGTTTTTTTGCTTAAAGGAGTATAAATTAATAAGAAGGTTGTTGTGAATATTTTCTTTATTGATGTATGGCCAACACTGAGATACAACGGTTTCTATGGTAGGGTACTTTTAGATCTGGGGAGAAAGATTAATTTGGCCCTCAAGATAAAGAATAGATTCCTTAGCAAGTTATTTATCAGGTCTTGTTTTGGTCACACAGTGAAAAATACTGATAAAATTATGGATCATTTTGTGATAGTTCTACTGAGAAGTTGTTTGTTTTTTTCAAAAGGATTCTATTATGTTTAAAGTCACTTTCTCCTTAGTAAGTGCAGCCTGTATAGTCTAAATCACATATAAATTATAGTGTTTAAAACAGTGTATTTATGAAAAATTTCTGCTGGTGAATGATGAAATACACAAATTAAAAATGAATGCAAGCCCTCAAAAGATTGAAGCAAAGGGGATATTTGTGCAGCCATTCTCTATCATGGTGGCATGGCGTAAAATAGCAAATGTCAGACACTCCTGTCTGGGGCAGTGGAATATGATAGCTGTATTTGTAACCGTACTGCATAATTTAATCTCTACATGTTGACATAATTAATGCAGTTAATTCCTAACGATACTAAACAGAAAATCACTAGTTGTATGTTGTCTTTTTGATCATTATTTGATCAAAACAGGAAAGTGCAGATTGGCATATAGATTTTTAAATTTTACGTGAAAATGTAATTATGAAGAATATATTTTAAAATTATTATGACTATCATGATATTTCCTGCTTTCCCGACTATATTGCCAGAAATTATATAGTTATGTATCCGGGAGATGGTAGTTTTTAATTTACGTAGTTCTTGTGAGGAAAAAGGCAAGAAAAAAAGGAGAATGAATAATTTATTCATATAAACTTGCAAATTTCATAACAAACCAAATTAATAAATGTAAAAAGTAAATTAATACATTTTATTCTGATATTAGTACAGAGTGTTGTATTTGAATCTGGAACACTGAAACAGATGGTCATTGGGGCCTTAGGTAAGTCAACCTCTCTCAGGTAAAGTGATTGTTGCAAAGGTGATTGTTATGGGAATCCTTTTAAAATTGATCATATCTGAAATGTGATAGTCATAATATCAAAGCTTCATCCCCTTTCTCAATAGTTCACATAAAGCAATATTGGTAGGTATTCCAATATTTCTAATGTAGACAATGACTCTAGTGATTTGCTGCTAACATTATTTCATTTTTTTCTTTGAATGGGATTTCCTAATTTCTTTTCTTAGGTGTAAAATCTGAATTCCTATGGAGTGGAGGAATAATGTACAACATTGATTCAGGGGAATAATGCAAGATATGTTTCAATTGGAGAAAGCAGAAATATTTGAAAGATAAGGAATCTGATTGAAATTGTAAGGATTTGGTAAGGCAGTGCTATAAGAAAGGATTTCTTTGTATTCTGTCTACATAATAGTGCTAAATAGCTTATATGCACACTGAGTGAAATTAATGCTGTAATGTCATTTAAAGAAACAAATCAGTATTGCCACCTAAATATAACGTACAAATATGTTTATGTGTTCTTATGATTGTGCATAATATGTGTGCAGCTGATTGGAAGGAGAGTCAGTAGCAGGAGAGTTCTCTCAGATCAGGAAGACTCCCCTTTTTAATTCCCTTAAATCCAATGGGGTTTTAAGAATATCTAGTTTGTCCGCAATAAATTGAAATAAATGAAACAAATTGTGAAGAACTATATAAAATACATTTCATATATATACTTTTAAAATATTTTCCATATAAAAATATTTCTGGCATTCTAACTGCCTAGGTGGGTTAACTGTTATAATTCCTTTTAGTGTTTAAAAATTCATATTTAGATAGATTTAGCAGTATAAGAAATAAATACCTTCATTTTTTATACCGCTCTTGCCTCATTCCTTTCTTTACTCCCTGTAGTGAAACTTTAGTTACACTTTTTCTTTCTAAACCCAACCTTTCATTGTTCCCATGTTTGCAAAAATAAGCAGGAAATAACTTGTTGCCCATGCAGACTATTAAGAAACAGTGAAAAGAAAATAAACTTAGCAATATTAGCAGAGAGTAGAACTAATTTGAAGCTTACTGACTAAATTTCTGTTAAGGTTAGTTCCAAATTTCATTCTTTCTCACTACATATTGTATGTCTATGTGTTATCTTTCTCTTCAACTTGATTGCAATGATATTATTTACCCACTGAGCTGCTATTTTGACAATAATAGTTAACCAGAAATAAAAATGTTTTCAAATAGTGTGAGTAAGCATGGTAAGCCAAACTGAAATAGGATAATTTTCTAAAAGAAATAAAAGATTTAAGACTTAGTTTAGATTTCATATAATTGTATGTTTTTCATGTTTTCTTTTATCTCTTGGTTTACTCAAGCTGGATTTATCACATGAAGTAGATTGTAGGAACCAATTAAATTCTGTTTACTAGCAGGAAATAAGGTGACTTTTCCAATTTTATTACAGAATATAAAATGAAACATTTGAAGAGTTATTTGTTGTAGGATGTATTTATCATAAGATACAATTTGGAAAACTTGTAAGAAGTTACAAGGAAGTGGCTGCAGTAATATAATGCTATCTAGAACTACTTTCCTTTTAAAGCCTGTAGAATCTGTGGACAATAGAGATATGGCAACTAATCTATATTTTATTGTTCATTCCAACCATTATTCTGTTTGACTTAGCTTTGCAGAATGTAACGTTTTGTTGGTTGTAAAATCAAGGAAATATAACCAAATGCATTAGTCTTTTGTACAATATTAACTGTACACGAGTTTTAAAAACTGGAAATTTAATATTGCTGTTCCCATACGAAGACACACTGGAAATAATTGAGAATATATTTATTGATGTTCTGAGACTATGAGATTAATACATTGATGTGAGTAATTTTATACTATCAGCGAAGCTTTGCTTTAAGGAAGAACAAGTTAGAGAAGCATTCTGCACTGTTGCTTTGATTGAAGAATTGATTAAATTGTTAACTGATACAATTAAAAAATGGTAAGGGTTTTAAGGGTACAAATGTACAGAAAACAACCTACTTCTTTGAGTAATTATTTAAGGAG